CAGCAAAAATCTGTTTTTTGTTTATCCGCACTTCATCCCCGGGACATTCAAACATCCCAGTTTTATAAAGTTTTTCTTCTTTCTTTTTTAGTAAAGTTTTACAGGGGGAAAGGGGTTTCTAGCCCATTGCTTCCCCGGGATTTTTGTCGCCTCATACGGAAAAGCATGGTTTTTGGGGGGAAAGATTCTTTTCCCCTTTTCCCCCTGGACCCAATAGAAGAAATAAAAAGAAACAAGAGCTATTTAGAAAAAGGAGAAAAACCTAGATGTATGTATATATATATATGCATGTGCGTGTCTGTGAAGTGTGACCAAAGTGTAAGTAGGAGTAGCAAGATATCCCTGTTATCTTAGCGTGTTTATGAGACAGAAAAAGAAACCAGCAATCCTACCATCATGCAAAACAGTTACAGGTTTTTGTTTCACAGTCATCTGGCAGGACGGTAGTACTTCCCTGGGTGGTTGCTGTCTACCAACCTACTGTTATTTATAATTTATTATTTTAGCATAGATATATATATTATTATTTTAAGATGCTAATAATTTATTATTGTAACATGTATATATATATTAAATACAGTGGACCCCCGCATAGTGATATTAATCCATGCAAGAGAGCTCATTGTTATGCGAAATTATCGTTATGCGAATGAATTTTCCCCATAAGAAATAATGGAAATCAAATTAATCCGTGCAAGACACCCAAAAGCATGAAAAAAAATTTTACCACATGAAATATACATTTTCCTACACACAAAGAGAAGGATACATGCACAATAGTATAGTAGTACATGCACAATATATATTGTGCATGTACTACTCTACTAAATGAAGAATAAATGACACTTACCTTTATTGAAGATGCAGCAATGACTGATGAGACACTGTGTCTGGGAGTGCCTTTTCCTCCTGAGTACTGTAGGTCCTGTTTGGCATTTTCTTCCAGAACAGCCTTATCACACTGTGTATGCCACTACGATTCTTAAATCTCTCAAACCAACCTTTGCTGGCTTTAAATTCACCAATATGAGCACTAGTTCCAGGCATTTTTCCCTGTTCACCTGGGTGTTAGTCGACTGGTGTGGGGTTGCATCCTGGGAGACAAGATTAAGGACCCCAGTGGAAATAAGTTACAGTCTTCGATGACACTGACTTTTTTGGGTTATCCTGGTGGCAAATCCTCTGGGGTTAATTGTTTCTTGGTATTCTCAATAAGCCACACCAACAACAGTGCTACAGCAGCAGCAGCAGCAGCAGCTGACAGTGCTACAGCAGCAGTAGACGATTGCTACAGCAGCAGCAGACGATGCTACAGCAGCAGCAGACGGTACTACAGCAGCAGCAGCAGCAGCTGACGGTGGTACAACAGCAGCAGCAGCTGACAGTGCTACAGCAGCAGCAGACGATGCTACAGCAGCAGCAGACGATGCTACAGCAGCAGCAGACGATGCTACAGCAGCAGCAGACGATGCTACAGCAGCAGCAGACGATGTACAGCAGCAGCAGACGATACTACAGCAGCAGCAGCAGCTGACGGTGGTACAGCAGCAGCAGCAGCTGACGGTGCTACAGCAGCAGCAGCAGCTGACAGTGGTACAGCAGCAGCAGCAGCAGCTGACAGTGGTACAGCAGCAGCAGCAGCTGTACCACCAATAGTAGCGATGGTTGATTGGGGTTTATTATACAACCTGGCCAGCTCGGAGACACGCACTCCACTTTCATACTTATCAATGATCTTTTTCTTCATCTCTATAGTAATTCTCACCCTTATTGCTGTAGGGTTGGCACTAGAAGCTTTCTTGGGGCCCATGGTCACTTATTTTGCAGATAAAATCACCAAAAACACTGTAATAATACGAAATGTTCCGATTGTATGCTTGTATGTTACCGCGGAGGCTGGCTGGTAAACAATGCCACCGGCGGAACATGTGAGCGTGGCTCAGGCCGCACATAGACGCGTCTCAGACGAACAACGTTGAGCGGGTTTTTTAGCGGTATGCAAGGCAAAATCTTGGCGATAAAATGTAGCAGTATGCAGATTTAACGTTATGTAAGGCCAACGGTATGCGGGGTCCACTGTACCTCTAGACCAAAGATTGATTTTTTATATAATATTAAAGATTCATTTATTTTAACGTGTATTTATGTATCCCGAACTCTTTATTACAAAATGAGTAAACCTACCATCTTAAAAATTACTTTTTTTTTTTTTTGTAATACTAATTGAATAGAAAAATATAAGAAATTAAAATTTTTTTCTTTTTTTTTCAACAAGTCAGCCGTCTCCCACCAAGGCAGGGTGACCCAAAAAAGAAAGAAAATCCCCGAAAAGAAAATACTTTCATCATCATTCAACACTTTCACCACACTCACACATTATCACTGTTTTTGCAGAGGTGCTCAGAATACAACAGTTTAGAAGCATATACGTATAAAGATGCACAACATATCCCTCCAAACTGCCAATATCCCAAACCCCTCCTTTAAAGTGCAGGCATTGTACTTCCCATTTCCAGGACTCAAGTCCGACTATATGAAAATAACCGGTTTCCCTGAATCCCTTCACTAAATATTACGCTGCTCACACTCCAACAGATCGTCAGGTCCCAAGTATCATTCGTCTCCATTCACTCCTATCTAACATGCTCACGCACGCTTGCTGGAAGTCCAAGCCCCTCGCCCACAAAACCTCCTTTACCCCCTCTCTCCAACCCTTTCGAGGACGACCCCTAGCCCTCCTTCCTTCCCCTATAGATTTATATGCTTTCCATGTCATTCTACTTTGATCCATTCTCTCTAAATGACCAAACCACCTCAACAACCCCTCTTCTGCCCTCTGACTAATGCTTTTATTAACTCCACACCTTCTCCTAATTCCCACACTACGAATTTTCTGCATAATATTTACACCACACATTGCCCTTAGACAGGACATCTCCACTGCCTCCAACCGTCTCCTCTCTGCTGCATTTACCACCCAAGCTTCACATCCATATAAGAGTGTTGGTACCACTATACTTTCATACATTCCCTTCTTTGCCTCCATATATAGAGTTTTTTGACTCCACATATACCGCAACGCACCACTCGCCTTTTTTTCCTCATCATTTCTATGATTAACCTCATCCTTCATAAATCCATCCGCCGACACGTCAACTCCCAAGTATCTGAAAACATTCACTTCTTCCATACTCCTCCCCAATTTCATATCCAATTTTTCTTTATCTAAATCATTTGATACCCTCATCACCTTACTCTTTTCTATGTTCACTTTCAACTTTCTACCTTTACACACATTCCCAAACTCATCCACTAACCTTTGCAATTTTTCTTTAGAATCTCCCATAAGCACAGTATCATCAGCAAAAAGCAACTGTGTCAATTCCCATTTTGAATTTGATTCCCCATAATTTAATCCCACCCCTCTCCCGAACACCCTAGCATTTACTTCTTTTACAACCCCATCTATAAAAATATTAAACAACCATGGTGACATTACACATCCCTGTCTAAGACCTACTTTTACCGGAAAGTATTCTCCCTCTCTTCTACACACCCTAACGTGAGCCTCACTATCCTCATAAAAACTCTTTACAGCATTTAGTAACTTACCACCTATTCCATATACTTGCAACATCTGCCACATTGCTCCTCTATCCACTCTATCATATGCCTTTTCTAAATCTATAAATGCAATAAAAACTTCCCTACCTTTATCTAAATACTGTTCACATATATGCTTCAATGTAAACACTTGATCTACACATCCCCTACCCACTCTGAAACCTCCCTGCTCATCCGCAATCCTACATTCTGTCTTACCTCTAATTCTTTCAATTATAACCCTACCGTATACTTTTCCTGGTATACTCAGTAAACTTTTTCCTCTATAATTTTTACAATCTCTTTTGTCCCCTTTCCCTTTATATAAAGGGATTATACATGCTCTCCGCCAATCCCTAGGTACCTTCCCCTCTTTCATACATTTGTTAAACAAAAGTACCAACCACTCCAACACTATATCCCCCCCTGCTTTTAACATTTCTGTCATGATCCCATCAGTTCCAGCTGCTTTACCCCCTTTCATTCTACGTAATGGCTCACGTACCTCCACACTTACATTCTGCTCTTCTTCACTCCTAAAAGATGGTATACCTCCCTGGCCAGTGCATGAAATTACCGCCTCCCTTTCTTCCTCAACATTTAAAAGTTCCTCAAAATATTCTCGCCATCTACCTAATGCCTCCCTCTCCCCATCTACTAACTCCCCTACTCTGTTTTTAACTGACAAATCCATACTTTCCCTAGGCTTTCTTAACTTGTTTAACTCACTCCAAATTTTTTTCTATTTTCATGAAAATTTCTTGACATTGCCTCTCCACTCTTTCATCTGCTCTCCTTTTGCACTCTCTCACCACTCTCTTCACCTTTCTTTTACTCTCCATATACTCTGCTCTTCTTATAACACTTCTGCTTTGTAAAAACCTCTCATAAGCTACCTTTTTCTCTTTTATCACACCCTTTACTTCATCATTCCACCAATCACTCCTCTTTCCTCCTGCCCTCACCCTCCTATAACCACATTCTAATACTGCATTTTTAAAACTATTCCAACCCTCTTCAACCCCCCCCCCCCCCACCACTCATCTTTGCACTAGCCCACCTTTCTGCCAATAGTCGCTTATATCTCACCCGAACATCCTCCTCCCTTCAGTCCTGGAGGTGGGAAGTAAAGTTACTGCACTCTGAAGGAGGAGTGAAGATGTTGCCATTTGGAGGGTTATCTGAACTGATATAAGCACCATTCTGGCAAGACAGTGACTGAATGAATGACCCTGAAAGTGTTTCCATCTTTGTCGGGTCACCCTACCTTGGTGGGAGATGGCTAGTGTGTTAAAAAATATTTTAAAAGTAAGAGTAGCCTAAAAAAAACAAGCCTTTGCAATTTGTTAATCTTTAAAATTGATGGAAATCTTTCCATAAAAGTTTTCTTTTTCTAGTATGATGCCATTTATTTGTGTGAGACATCAACGGTAGCCCCAGCCACTGAAGGTGGAGAGGAAGGTGCTTGTGAGCCAGTTCTCATCTCAGAGCCTCGTATGGTCTTGCAGACTAACTGTGTTAAAAGAAGGTTTGTGTTTCATTTATAATGTTACTTTGGTCATGATGGGCAAGTATAACCCTGTTCACTTGTTCATAAATTACATTTACTTGTGCATTAAAGTTAAAAGCTTTAATATTCATGGAATTTAGCTGCTTTTTACACAGGCATGTTGTAATTGTTAGTCTTTTGTGTACATGTTAATTAGTCATGCCTAGTATTAATGATCGTTTAATGGAGAAAGTTTATATTTATCTACTTCATGAAAAAATGTATGTCTGTTGGTTAAACTGTAATCCACTTATCACAAAAAACACTTACTTTTGTAAATTATTTAAATTTATCTTATAACCAGTACTGTGGTGTTGAGTATTTGGCATAGGTCATACTTCACTAAAGTTTATAAAGTAACTTCATTTTCAGTAGACAAGTTCAAGCAGGGTTAATATGATGAACCATCTACAGTGGAGCATAATTTTCTGAACCTAAAACACCTTCGTGCCATTATGATGTTGCTCTTCATTTATAATGCTCAATGTAGCAACCTCTGAGTTGCTAATGGCATTCTTAATAATAGTATGCTGAGTAAAAGTACTTATCTTCTTTGTATGCGTCATCTTTGCAGCACACCATATTTCAATGAAGACCAAATGAAAGGAAGTTCATTCACCATTCAATCATTCTGTTGTTGTCTTAACAAAAGTATGCTGAGATCACAATTCAGATGACCCTTTGAATGAAACAACCCCCCTCTCCCTCCTTCAGAGTGTTCTGCCCACCTCCAGGACTCAAGTTTAGCTAACCAGTGACTAGAGTATCATACAAACATTATCATTTGGGATGTGACAAAAATCTACACAGATGGTTCTCCAGGCCTTGACATTGGTGGATTCCATAGGTGTACATGGAATTTTGTATTTTTCTGTGATTATACAAGAATGCTTGTGATAGTGAACTTAAGAAATTACATAATTGGGTATGCATACAACAACAGGACTTTCTGATTGACAGGGTGATAAGCCTAGGTGAGTCCCTTTCTTCAGGATTGCTCAAAGTCTGTAATGAAGAGGTAAGCCTCTGCAATGGCATCCTAGGTGTTGAGATTATGCTCAGTGGTTTCTGAAAGGCCTGACTAACAGTTTATGACTTAGTGTCGATACCATTGAAATTTGAATTTTCCACCATGTGTTCTACAGTTCATTTTAGACAATTTTTGTTTAGATGATGTTTCCAAAAATGTAACTTCTGTCTTAATCAACAATGTTTATTTCCCTTACAGTACTTGTAATTTTTGATATACTGGCTTACTCCATGAGTGGAACTAAATTAGTATTTCCAAGAAGTAAATTATAATATCTTCTTCTTTCAACAAACTGGCTGTATCCCACCAAGACAGGGTGGTCCAAAAAAGAAAAACAAGTTTCTTTTTAACTTTAGAAAAGTATACAGGAGAAGGGGTTACTAGCCCCTTGCTCCCAAATTATAATATATCCTTCATTATTTTTGTCTGCACTCTGTAAGAGTGCTCATTGGTGCTTCCTGTAGTTCCACTGTGAGTGAATCTGTTCAGTGAACATTATTTGCATATTTTTTAGGTCACAAATTATATCAGCTTTAACCAGAACAGTCTGTATAACTACAGTAGTATCCCAGTTTAACCCATTTACTGTCTTGTACGTAGATCTATGTTAATGATACCAGCATCACTCGCATAGATCTGAGTTTTGAACTCGGCTCCCTCAGATTAGCTGAAGTGGTAAATTTTGGCCTAGATATAGGAGAGTGGGTCGTCCAGTGTGTATGCACAGTATACAAAAATTCATGCCCCCACACAGTGCATGATGCAAAAAGCAAACCTCTGACCTTTTGTTTGGTTTAAAATAGTGACTTTGAGGTGTTTTCTAGGATGGTTTTTTTTTTTTATTGTTTATTGCCAGTTTCTTGAAATCATTTGATAGAATGGAAGACACACTACCGAAATAGTGATTACTTTTGGTTGGTTTCAGGAACAGAAATAGCTTTAAATTGGGCTCAAGGCAGTGGAAATATTAAAGTTTTGACAATTTTCCTGAGAATGGGTAAGGCCCCTCCTACATCCCCCAGTCTGTTTTATGGGTTTTTACTAGATCTACTTCAATTGTTGGGGTGCCCTAAACCATGACCAATCATTTGTGGTTATGGGATAAATGTAATACAGGAGAGGCCTGAGGACATGATTAATGAAGAAAGGAAATGTTGCTTTAGTGCCTGGAATGTTTACAGTGTTTATTTTGGACTGTTTTTATATTGGATTTTTTTTTTTTTCCATTTTGTGTAAAATTGGCCAGATTACTGACTTATGTGCACTTTACACAGCAGTTTCGGTAGTTGCTTGGGTGATTTCTTGTGTTTAATCAATGGAGAGGAAGGCATCCGCTTAAAAGTGGATGAAATCACCAATGCACAAATTGCACCCAGACTGCCAAATTTGCACCTGCATAATTCCAGAAGTTTTCCATCGAATTTCCTGTATTCGGTGTCATTACCCTTAGAAAAAGATTCTCTACCATCTCAATTTTTTTTAATTCCCAACATTGTCTGCACATTTGCTTACAGTTTTCCCAACAGTGAAAGGGGTTAGAGAGTACAGCAGAAGCCTTAAGATGATATATCATTAGAAGGGCGAATCTTGCTGAAAAGTTTCTTTTTATTCGGTCGCATTTTTTTTTTTTTAGTTGTTTAAGTTAGTCTTTTGTGCTCTTCAAAAATTAGATCTTACTTCATTATTACTGTACAATACTCATAAACACTGTGCTGTTGTTAAAGTAATTTAATGAATTATTCTGTGTTATGTTCTGCTTTTATGCTATTCCTTGTACTTTTGGCTTTAATCTTGCATTTCCTGTGTTGCTTGGTTTTTTTTATGGTTATTTAATACAGTTCTGTGCACATTGTGATACACTTGTAAAGAAGATTGGGATTATCTTCCTCGATTTCTTTAATGTGGTTTAACTCGAATCTAGTTATTGTCGTCATTTCAGATTCCGTGAGTTTTTAACACTGCATGCTGCCTTGGAGGAAGATTCAAGATTGCGGACTGCTATGAAAGGTGTTAAGGGGCCTAACAAGTGGTTAAACTTACCATTCAGCAAACTGGATTCCACCACCATTGCTACTCGTAAGCAGTTTCTGGAAAAATATCTTCAGGTGATGTATCTCAAATATCTTAAGAGTATCATGCTATATGGTGGTTTTTGAAGCTAAGTTGATGATTATAGCTGCTAACCATAATGTTGTAGGAAGATTAGTTGTAAATTTCCCTGATTTGCATAACAAGCAGCATTTTAACAGAGAATAGATTATGAAAGATGAGTTAAAAACCTGCTCATTTATTCATCTAGATAATCTGTATCCTTAGTCTGCATTTTCTTTAAGAAACATAGCTGTAATGAGGAAGTTCTTACACTACACAAATAACCTGAACAAAGAATGAAAAGGTGCAATACTGTGACTAGAATAATACACAAATAGCCCTCACGTAAGAGACTGAAAATTATGACGACGTTTTGGCCCAACTTGGGCCATTAACTAGTCACACAGAAGCATGAGGGAAAGAGAGCCAGCATATATACGAGAGGGTGCTGTAGTCAACAGTATCAAAAGCCTTTCACAGATCAGTGAAAATTCCGGTAGGATACTCGTTTATCTCTAGTGCTGTGTACACTGTCTAGCATTCTGATCATTGCATAAACAGTAAACTTTTATTTGTTCTGAACCCAGATTGTTAAGGGATAAGTACACTGTGCTTGGTCAGATACGTGTACAGTTGCTTGTGTATTAATTTCTCAATTTTTTTTTTTGTAGTACTGGAAGATAAGAGATTGAACTCTAATTATTAACATCATTCGAATCACCATTATTGTGGATGGGTGTTATCCTGGCTTTCTTTAGTATCCAGAGTGGTTGGTTCCTAAAGTAATTTCTTCAAAAGTATTACTGTAGCTGAAGATAATACTTGTACAGTTTTTTAGTAGGTTATTGTGGGTATGTACTACCAGCATTTTTTAAGTGATTTTATTGAAGTTATTTCTGCAGGGGTGGTAGGAGCCAAGTGCAGAGAATTAGAAGTGCCTGTTAAATAACAACTGATGTTGGCTCAAGCTTTAGGAATGTTACCAGCAAGATTAGTTTCTACTGTAGCAAAGAAGTTAAGTTTACAATATCAGTAGTCAAGTGTGGGGGGGATGGGGGAAGATCATTTGCCTTAGTTATTTGCTTATTTCTTTGAGATTTCTTTTTTTTTTTAATCTTAGAATTTGGGGAAGTGTTTTCCAAGTTTATAAAATAAACCCTTTTAGCCTATTAACTCTAGTGGGTAGTAGTTTTGTTGTTTGTTTTATTCTTTGTGATGTTTACTAATTTTGCCAAGTACTGTACTATTAGGAATTCCAGCCTAGCTGGCTAAAATTAAAATTTCCTAGACTTACTACATTATCATGTCATGATAATATTCAGTTCCTGAGCAAGTCTCACTTTCCAAGTTCACCGGCCAATATAACATGCCTAAAATGAATTTTACATGTCTTCCAAGAAATTCTACCCAAACAAATTCTGTAGCTGTTATTTCAGTCTTTATATCTGTTTTCATGCAACATCCAATTTTTCTTTGACATGTACCATTATTCCACCCCACTTCCTATTATTTCTGGTAACTTTAACCAACTTAAACCCTTGATGTAGAATTCAGCAGACGCGTCCTGATTCTTCAAATTTAACCATAACTTGGTTTTTTGTAGCGATGTTTCCTGCTTGTGCATCCGATCTAAACTTGTTTATCTTATTTCTAGAAAAATGACTTTTTGTATAATAAATCTTATTTTTTTTTCTATCATACCCTCTTCATCTTTGTCTTCCCACACAGTTTATGAATGGTTTTTCTTTTCTTTGTTTTTTTTTTTTATTATTATCACACCGGCCGATTCCCACCAAGGCAGGGTGGCCCGAAAAAGAAAAACTTTCACCATCATTCACTCCATCACTGTCTTGCCAGAAGGGTGCTTTACACTACAGTTTTTAAACTGCAACATTAACACCCCTCCTTCAGAGTGCAGGCACTGTACTTCCCATCTCCAGGACTCAAGTCCGGCCTGCCGGTTTCCCTGAATCCCTTCATAAATGTTACTTTGCTCACACTCCAACAGCACGTCAAGTATTAAAAACCATTTGTCTCCATTCACTCCTATCAAACACGCTCACGCATGCCTGCTGGAAGTCCAAGCCCCTCGCACACAAAACCTCCTTTACCCCCTCCCTCCAACCCTTCCTAGGCCGACCCCTACCCCGCCTTCCTTCCACTACAGACTGATACACTCTTGAAGTCATTCTGTTTCGCTCCATTCTCTCTACATGTCCGAACCACCTCAACAACCCTTCCTCAGCCCTCTGGACAACAGTTTTGGTAATCCCGCACCTCCTCCTAACTTCCAAACTACGAATTCTCTGCATTATATTCACACCACACATTGCCCTCAGACATGACATCTCCACTGCCTCCAGCCTTCTCCTCGCTGCAACATTCATCACCCACGCTTCTTTTCTTTGTCTTGCATGATATTAACTGACAAGTTTACTTGACTCCCCTCATAACTATTACAGTATTTGGAATTAATTGGTTCCTGAGAGTGTTCTGAATATTGAATTTTCTGAATAATGCATCAGTTTTTTCATAGGAAATAATGTAAATTGGATTAATTTGTTTCAAACCCCGAACGCTACTCTTCACAAACCATTTTTAAGTCGGAATATTGGTGAATTAAACTTGTAAAGTGGAATGTACAAGCAAGAAATCATACATGACTCTTGCCAGAATTTTAACTCCTGTTGCCACATGAGCACTTTATTGCATCTTTATTGTTTATACTGTAATAGAAAATACAGTAGATGTTGACATGCCATATTCCTTGGCTAGGTCAACAAGATGTATTCCATTTTTGTGTTTTGAAATAAGTTCATTTTCAAGTTCAGTGGTGGTTCTTACAGCTTTCCTTTCAGGTTTTTTCTTCTATTCTTATTCAGGACCATGCTCGCTTATTTTTCAATAACAAAATAAAAATAACACAACATTATACAAAAAATAACAATTGAATCACAAGAGCTCAAAAAGCATGCGTCATTCTGAATATAGTGGCATTTACAAATGTCGTTACCTTTTTTCCTTCAAATTTTTTCCTAATACAGGCCAACCATCACTAATCCAGCAATCAGTAATCTGGTATTAATTTCGGCTAGCATAATTTAAAATTTCCAGGGTCGCCACACCGACCTGCCGCTACTGTTTGATGGCACTACTTGTTGCACGAGTCATTCCAATTTCTTTTTTTCCATTTATTGTTATAACCTGCTCACTTTTAGCCCTAGCCATGGTTTCAATGAATAAAAAAAATGCTTCTTGTCGTGTAAAGCATATACACCGTACACTGTCCATAAAAGATAAGGTGGCTTTGAAGCCACTGTCAGTCTCCATGAGATCAGCTCACACAGATAAGCTGTGACTGGTAAATTTGGGCCTACATATGAGAGAATAGATCTGTTAGGTAAGTGTGCACTGTATAAAAAAAGTCCTGCAGCATGAAGTGCATAATGAGGGCCCTGAATCTGCACTTTCTAGAAAGGCGTAGAATTAGGGGAGATATGATCGAGGTGTATAAATGGAAAACAGGAATAAATAAAGGGGATGTAAATAGCGTGCTGAAAATTTCCAGCCAAGACAGGACTCGCAGCAATGGTTTCAAGTTGGAAAAATTCAGCTTCAGAAAGGATATAGGAAAGCACTGGTTTGGTAATAGAGTTGTGGATGAGTGAAACAAACTCCCGAGTACAGTTATTCAGGCTAAAACGTTGTGTAGTTTTAAAAATAGGTTAGATAAATACATGAGTGGGTGTGGGTGGGTGTGAGTTGGACCTGTCTAGCTTGTGCTGCTGGGTCTGGTCCAGTGCTCCATCCTTGAGTGGAGATGATCAGACTGGGTGGGTCATAGGGCTAATCCGGGGGAGGGTCATTGGTCTAATCCGGGGGGTACATGGACCTGCTCCGCATGGGTCAGTAGGCCTGTTGCAGTGTTCCTTCTTTCTTATGTTCTTATGAGAAAAAATTGTGACTGTGTTTGTGGTGTAAAACAGAGAATTTGCTGTGCATTTTCATATGGTTCTGCTGGTTGTATTCTCGTTTTTTTTTATCTCATTTGATAGAATGGAAGATATATTACAGAAATAGATATGATTTTGATTGGTTTCACGAGAGAAAGTACCTTGAAATTGAGCTCAGACTAACGGAAATGTTCGATTTTTGCTGATGTTTAAGAGTAAACAAATGATGTCACCGTCCAATACATGTCCAACTAGCCAGTCTAATACGCAGTCACAAATGGCTTGACATTATTTATACAATTATTACAATAATTCAGTAGTCAGTAAATCTTCTATTTTTTTGTGTGAATAAAAATTCAAAATGGAAAGCAAGTGTAATATAAGAGGGGCCTTGAGATGTGACTAATGAACAGAGAAAAAGTTATTTTAGTGCCAAGAATGTCTGCATTGTTTATTCTGGGCCCTGCTTTGAAATTGGCATCTCTTGAAATTTGTGTGAAATTAGCCAAATTGCCAATTTCTGACCACTTCATTGGGTAGTTGAAATAGGTAAATGAGCAGTTTCTTGTACTCAACAACAACATGGATTCACAGGTAAGGACCCACGAGGGGCGAGGGACTCAGTGGACAGAAAAGAAGGAATACTAGCAAAATAGCTATGAGCTTGGTAGACAGGAACAATGGAATGGGCCAAAATAGGGTTTAAAGTGGGTGATACCGCCAATGCGTAAATATCGCCATTGGTTTAAGTGTATTCTAACCTGACCACTCTGTAATCCAGCAAAATCACTAATGATGATCAACCTATGATGGTCAACCTGTACTGGATTTTATGAATAAAGATGCATGCAAATACAGAGGTTCTACTGTATTAATAAAATTCATTGTAAGATAATCTTAAGGTTTTATTCTGCTTAAATTTATGGTACCACATTCCTTTCCTTTGCTTAACAACCATACCTCTAAAATATTTTTAGATTAAAGCCCAGTACATTGCAAGTACTGGCCCAGTTTCTCTAAGACAACCCATTTCTTGTGTCTGATGACACAAGCGTAAACCA